TAGTGCATAAAGTAACTATATTTTGTGAAGTTTATTAGTTGTTGTGTTTTTCTTTTTTTTTAATTTTAAAATTGAATACTTAAAAATTTCTTTAATGCTTTTAATTATTTCAGTAAGAATAGTCTAATTCTACCCTACCTCTTGTATTGTTATTGTATTTTATTATTATGATGATAAGGGTATAGATGCTAAGTGTGTGTTGTACTGCATAACTTTGTTTACGAGAGCAACACATGTGATGATGAAGGAGGTTTTGCCGATCTATTATTATCATTTTTTTGTTTTGTTTTAGGTTCTTTTTCAACCTGGTTATTACCGGGTGGATACAGTTTTCATCAGTTTTAGGCGCATTAATCATGTGATGATGACATTTTTGGGTTCTGTTTTGTTTTGTTTTAGAAAAAAAGTAGTCTTCACTACTTTTGTCTGTTTTTGCATATTTTACTCATTTTCCTATATGCACTTCTTTCAATCAGTCAGACAAGTTATAGAAATAAATAATAATACTAATATTAATAGTATTAATAATGACTAATGATTAACAAAACTATGCATGCATCTGTAGTATTATAAACATGCATATCAATCAGCTGGCTGAAATTCACGAATTATTATTATTACTATTATTACATTAGATTATTGGCAATATTAGTGAAAATGAACCTGTATCTGACATGACTGCTCTCCGATAATTATTCTCAACTGCCTAATTGTGTTGTTTGTCTTCAAAAGAGGAAGGTTCAAGTATTGGTTTGTAGGGATTTGATTGATTGGTTGGTGTATTTCAACATGAGCTGATATCGGCTAGAGAACCATTGGAAAACCAGCTAGGAGGAGTACTGGACAACTGTTTCGTCAACCTAGTTTGGGACTCTTCATCAGTACGCACCCACCAGGGAGGTTCGAACTCAGGACCTAATGATTACAAGTTGATGTCGTAAGCCATCAAGCCAGTGGTTTTCCAACGGTTCTCTAACCGATATCAGCTCATGATGAATTCCTGTAATATTAAGGTTCTTTGGGAAAATTACTGAAAAAACTAGTGTGACCAGTAGTATAATACTCTATGTTCCAGTCGTACTGAATGCTTAACTGAAAACGTAAAAGTTGCAAGCAAATGTGTTAGCTATATCCCTATCATTAAAAAAAACCCTGGGCATTCTTGCTGATCTGTGTTCCACGTGAACCTCAGGTTTTACAACTAGAAGGATTACACTCGGCTTTATTCGTAGAACCGCCGCCTTGTGTTAATATCTTTTAGTGAAACATGAATAAGGCAAGTATATCAAGTTATTTGGTAGGAAAATCTAATAACTTAAGTGTTCAAATTCAAAGACCGGCAGTTTTATGTTAAACTGTTTCTATTTTATACTATCTCTTTGTGTCTTTAAAGGTTGTTACAGTAAACTTCAGAGGAAGGAGTATAGTATGCAACTGCATACAGCCTAGAATATCTACTACATCAAATTACAATGAGAAATTTCAACATATTTTACTCCGAATTTGTTTTTAGTTCAATTCTGATTTCCCCGTTGTTTGATTTAAACCGAAATGTTCAGCCTCTGTTGACATGTAACCTCCTTATGCAGATACTTTGATGATATCTGTGGATCAACTTGAAGTAATTTTGGTGGATGGTGATTAGCAGTGGAATCCTTAGGATGCTCATTTCTTCCTATTTCGGACTCGTTAACTGAGTGTACCTGCATCAACCAGTGAGTGACGGTCTTCCCACTGAGACTCGAGCTCAGTAGTCATCGTTTCAAATGCCAAAGTGGTATCCATTAGACTACTTGTGCAACGGGCATCAGTTACTATTTGCTTTTAGTTCGATTTTGATTTTCCCGTTGATAAATGTGATTTAAATGTTCGTCCTGTTTTGGAACATTTTGAGACGATGAGAATGCGGGTACATGCGGATGAAGAGGCCAAAATAGGAGGAAATGAGCATCCTAAGGATTCCACCGCTATTCACCATCCACCAAAATGATTTTCATACTTTAGTTCATATAATAAATAAGCCGATCAGTACGTTACCATTATTATTCTCTTGGTTTTTTAGTGGAACAAAAGCTTCAACAGTGGATCTTCTTTGCATTCTGTTCCTTGCAGTCTCCTATGTAGCTGGTTTCATGATTGTCCATAAGCCTCTTTTCCTCCCCCACACAATCCTCTGCATGTCACTCTCCGACTTTTGTCCAACTCGTCGTTTCCCGCTTGGGTTCAACTCGAGGGGCTGAGGTGCGTGATGGTTTTCTCAGCTTATGTCCAGTCCATCTCCATTTCTTTCTGCATATTTGTTGAGCAGTAGGTCTTTGTTTTCCCTGGCGTGTCTGCCAGAGTTTCTTATTGTTTATCCTTTCCGATCAGCATAGAATTCACTAGTCAATATCACAGAAAAAAAATGTTCGATAGGTAGTCAAATTTAAGGAAGTTATATTGAAAATATCACAGATATATTTTTTTTATGAGGGAGGAATTTCTCTTCTTTTTGTATGGTAACATGGATAATCCAAAATAGTGTTTTCGCTAGTAAACAGACAGTTTCATAACAATCGGAAGATAGACTGTTATAATACCACAAATAGTATAATGAAAAAGTGAAAACATAAGAAACAAATATTTCTGGTTTGTTTGTAATAACTTTAATAAACAGATAATAAATGGCATGATCTGTTTTTTTGGATTTCTTTTTTATGGATTTTTTAAACTGACTCTTCAGTATCTATTTACTATCACGTGTGTCTGTTCAGTACTTATAGATTGACCTGTTGAGACCATTTTAATGCTCTTCAGCAGCACATGTTAAAAAAAGAATCAAAGACAAGCTCTTTTCTTGTTTTAGTATTTTTTCGATGTAACTTCTACCAAAGGTAGGTACACATGAATCAATGTCTTCACAATTGTAGGGGTAACATGTGATAGATACGAGTTAGTTTTTAATGGTTTCAATGAACAAGATGTTAGAAGCATAACCACACCTGATTATTTACTTTAGTCAGTGGTGTGCACTTAATCTTTTGTTTAACATATACATATTTACAGTGGCATTGCTCTTTATTAAAAATTGCTTCCTTCTCAATAGTTAGTAGTATGTTAGGGTTGGTTACATATTTCTAACTATCGGATTCATTGGAAAAGCTACTTAGGTAGTTTTCTTCTTTCAAATATTTATGTAGCATCCGGCTTGCCAAGTTAAATATATGCTGTAGGCTCTATAGAATACTGCTTAAACCAATGCTTTCCTTACTAACTAACCTGGCAAAAGCTTTTGAGATTCATATACGTACAATATCTTCCTCGTGAACAAATCTTTCTTGTGTACTGCATATTGATATCTACCACATCCCTCATGTTCCATGATCTCATGTTTTTCTGTACACTTTTGAAAAGTTGAAGCAAATATATACTGGGGTCTAGATAAGTTGAAATGATAAATGTCATCTGAGTTTCTAAAGTAGTCTTCTCATTTGTATTTTTCAATTATGTTGTCTCAAGACAAGCTACAAAAAATATATTCCAAGACTCAAGGACTACTCACTACCGCCTGTTCTATTTGTCAACTTAACGTTTGGTTACACTGAAGACGTGAAATTTCCGTCATATAAAAAGACTAACTGTTAAATTCTAGTGTATCTATGCAGTGGAGATCAATTTGTTAACAACTAAGAAGCATTTGTTTTTAGTTAGTGTTAACTAGCAGTGGATTCCCCAGGATATGCATCTCGTCCTGTTTTGAACTCGTCAAGTGGATTTACTTATACTTCCAGTGCTTAGTGGTGTGTTCCCACTGAAACTAAAACGTCAAAGCATTATCCATTAGGTCATAAGGACCACCTCTTGTAAAACGGTTGCCAGTTATTATTTCTTTTTAGGTTGATTTTCATTTCTCTTTAATTGATTATGTCGGGTTGAAATTCTTCGTTTCTTTTGACGTGTCAGCGTTTGAAACGATGAATGTAGCGTTCGAGTGTCAGTGGGAACACCATCACTCTTTGGGAATGCAGACATATCCAGACAACGAGTGCAAAATAAGGTGAAATGCACATCTTGGGGATTCCACTGCTAGTCACTATCAACCAAAAATAACTTCATGTTAATCCTAAGACATACCAACAGAATAATGTACTACATATTGCTCCCTTTCTGTTTTTTTGGTATGCGATGTGGATTTGTGGATTTACTTCATACCGCATATTATCAGGTAGGTACAATATTCAGCGGGGAAATCATAGGAGCGATAAATCCCCGCTTTCTTAACTTCCTTTGTACAATACGTAATACTGGCTGATATGGATTAGGAGTCGTACTCATCAATAGCGTTTTCTGACTAACTTTTAGATCCCAATCACTTTAAACCACCTTGATTGTTTCCATGTGCTTTCTCGAACTGGTATATATAGTTTCCACTGTTTAAATCCCATCGGTTTGATTAGTTAATACTATTGGTTGGTTGGTGTGAATTATTACTACCTGCTTATATCGGTCAGCGTACGTCGATGGCACAGCGGTTAGGACGCTCGCCGACCGTACACATAGTCTGGGGTTCGATTCCCGGCCGATGCTCTCCTTTACATCGTTAAGCCAGCAATAAAAAAGCTGGTAGAGAGAAAAGGTTGGGCATGAGGCTAGCAACTCCATCCTGTAAAAATAATCACCACTGCTACAGAAACTTCAAGCTTCTAACTTGAAGCCCTATGTTCCACTGGGAACGTGAAGGAATTAATAATAATAATATATCGGTCAGTAGCGTATTGTCGTACAGCTAACTTGTTGCTGTTTGTTGTGTTCAGCAGGTCATATATTACGGTGTAAAGGCTTCTTTCTTGTTTATAAATGAAACCACTATGGCATCTTATTCAGGCATGTGATTTCTGCTGACGTGAAATTTAAGCTGATTATATAATGTATATTGCTGTTAAGTTCACTAACTGAAAGTTTTATAGTAATATTTGTATCTTCTACCTTCTTCTTTTTAAATTATTACATAACCAAATTAGAATTAAATGACCGGTTATTTGAACAATTAGCTGAAGTGCCAAAATTTCAATCTGATGCCTATGAATCTTCATCATCATTATTACCATTCTGTGAGGAGTCCAATTCATCTGAGGGAGAAATAAAACGTCATTATGCTGAAAAATTAAAGCTACTTAAAAAACAATTGAAAGCACTGAATGAACAACTACAGACAACACGTTATGTAATGAATAAATTAGAACTTTATGGTATACCAATAGGTGTATCACCGAAAGAATATGTTAAACAATTTATTAATTCAAGGCGTAAATCATTTATGAGTACTGCTTCAACTGCTTCACCAGTATTGAAACCGAAGACAAGTTAGTTAACTTCATTATTTTTTGATCAATATTATTATTTGATTATTTATTCATTGTATTTATTGTTATTATAAATGATTCTTTCAGAACAGATATTAGAAGAGTGGAAGAGTGATCAACCAATATATCACACCATTATTACTATTAATATTCATTCCTTGAGTTCCGAGTGGAACATACAAATTCAGCGCCATATCTCTATTTCATTCTGTTCCGTTCTTCATTTATGACTGGTGCCACGACTACCCACATAAATTTTCATTTCCCCGTTATAATATCCTCCAAGTCACCATTGGACGCTCTGGGTTCCACTCGACAACCTGACATGTGTGATTTCTCACTTGACTGCCTCCTCAACTTACGTTCAATCCTTCTTCACTTCTTTCTGTATATGTATTCAGCAATAGGTTGTTGGCCGGTTAGCTGCCAAACTTCCTTTGTTGCTTATTCTTACTGACTGGTCATTTTATCTACGATACCGAACCAGTGAATATAGGTGTTGATGAAAGTCTGCAGCAGACTGTTGGAAGTGGTTTCAGTAATACGTCTAATCTCTGACTGTTTACTAATGTGGGTATCAACTCGAATTAATCGGAAAAAATTAAGTGATTATGTAATTAACTCTGAACAATATCAGAATACAGTTATTTATTGCAGTTCGAGAATAATTCCACTTCTCTCTTAAATATACAGAAGTTCAGTTGAAAATATCCTACGGTAGTTCTATTTAGGAAGCTTATTAGTCCAAGCAGTTTCTACACATTTATTTATTTATTTTAAATCACGAATTAGTAGAAGTTAAAATTAATGGACTGGCCACTGAATCGGATTCCAAAGGCTGAATGGTATACGAGCTTGCCTTGGTCCTGGGTTCGAATCCCAGTGGGTGCGTACTGCTGATGATTCCCAAACTAGGATGAAACAGCTGTCTGGTAGTACTCCCTGGTTTTCAATGGTTCTCTAACTGATATAAATCTGTGATCAAATCGTAAAAACAAAATTAACCCTTACAAACCAAACTATAGAAAATCAAAAATTAATTTTGTCAGACAACCGTTAAATACTACTATGTTTTTTCCACTACTATTCATTACCAAGCAAAATAAAATAAGTTTAGATTAATAGTATTAACTTTCCGATGAAAAAATTGGTATGAAAAGATCTTTGTTAGATTTATAAATCTAATTAATGCTATTCTGCTGGGAATTCGCGACCAGTAGGGTACTGCAGGTCGGGCTGGAGGACAAATACTCTACGAAGAAATTGGTTAGTGATCGCGCTATGTTGTGAATTGGCAGAAGCTGGAATTCATGGGCCACTGGATCGTGTCCAAGTGACTTAATGGTCTACGAGCTCGTCTTGTAACCATAAGGTGCTGGGTGCGTACTGATGAGGTGTCCCAAACTAGGACGAAACAGCTGTCCAGTACTCCTCCTAGCTGGTTTTTCAATGGTTCTCTAGCCGATGTCAGCTCATTATGAAATCCTGTAACTAATGCTATTCCCTTGGATTTTATCAAATTTTGATGTTCCAGCTGAAATTGAACCCATCAGTCCTTGTCCCCAACCCGATAGGTACAAACAGAATACATTATGCACCAGACGAAATCTCATATTTTGTGCGAGGGTTTGGATATTGCTGCGATGCCGAGAGAGAAGCAACCTCTTCTCTCCAGCCTTTAACTTGAAGTTTGATCCAGAAGGCAGTGGAGCTACGCTCCCACGGTTGCTGGTGGCCAAAGCAGGTTCATACCTCATGAATGGGGATGTGTTACTGAGGCACTATGTTCTAGTTGTAACTGAAGGGATTGATAACAATATGAAATTAATTCTACTTCCAATTTCTCTCATACTGAATTGGTGTAACACATGTTGTACCGTCACTATTTATGTAATCAATACTTTTGTTTTAAATTATTTTCTACTCAGGTTTTCCCAGCACATCTAATACTGGTAATCTTCCAAATGATAATTCTACAGCATCAGGATTAATATCATCCGATGATGTATGCCGTAGTCATCAGTTGGCTAAAACTCTTCCAGCACGAACATCTAATCCAAACATTGATTCCTGTAAACTACCAACACGTCAATCGAATACACTTCCGGCTAAATGTATTCATGAGACTAAAATATTTAATACAGATACTATATTTAATCTTGCACAATCTTCTATTGGCAGTCAATCCTTGTATACTCCAGATATAAAGCCTATACAATCTTCACAATCGTCAATGTCAACAACATCACATACACCGTATAAACCTGAATTAAGTGGTCCAATTATGTCAACATGTACTGCTACTTCTACCGCTGCTGCTTCTTCTTCTAATTCTACTAAAACACCATTAACTTCTCATCCTACAGCACCGCATTTGTTTCCGCATTTATCATCAAATGAACATGTTTATGATGATTATACAACGAAAATGCCGAGTACTCCGTCAAATACTCGTATGTTGAATACAGTACGAACAGGTTTAGGGTAAGTGATGTGAAATAAACACATGCTACACTTTATATTATTTAACCATTTGATAAAAGAAAAAAGACGTAATGCGTTATTCACTTACTTATTTTGTGCACTGTAAACATTTAAATGCAAGGAGTTCATCTATTTAAGATTTTGACCTTTAATTAGGAACACCTCAGTGATATTATTACTGGCTGATAGAATGACTTTTAACGTAAAAATTTGCATAGAAGTTCAGCAATGCCAGTTAGCACTTCTTATGCATCACACAAAGGTTGAGAAAAGAAAGCGAAAACAAGAATCAAAAGAAATATAAGGCACAGAAATGTTCGGCAGAAAGAATAGTAACATGGGGGAACATAAGTATTTAGTGGATAAGAGAGATTGCAACTTGTGAGAATCGGTCGGTCGGTTTCCGACATAGAACTTTGCACATATGTGCGGCAGTTCAAGTCGCCACACTCCATGTAGCACACAAAGCAACAGAAGAAAGTAGGAGAAATGCATAATATAGAGGGTAAACAAAGGTGTGAGACAAAGGTATAGTAATAACGAAGAACAAAACAGTTTCAGTGGAAATCATAAGTCACAAGGAGTGGATGCATCTGCACCAGCCATTGAGAACGATTTTGAGCCATGTCACCAATTGTTTCCAACCATTGGTTTTTAGCGTCCCGAGAACCCCAACCAGTCAGGAAGTCTACACCTTCCTACGTGGCCTAGACTAACTGTTGTAGATTTCATTGACTGGTGAGGCCATGTTTTGGTTTGACCGCCGCTAGCTCTTTTCCAGCCTAACCCTATGTCAGCTAACATTGCTCGTCGATGACTATACAAACGTAACACATGTCCTAACCATCTCAGTCGATGTAATTTCACAGTTTCGTCGATTGATTTCCCCTCCTTACCTAGCACTCGACGCCTAACCTCAATATTGCTCACCTTATTATACCACTTCACACGGGAGATAGAACGTAGACACCTATGATCGAAGACAGCTAATCTTTTCATGTCTTCCACTCTCAATGGCCAGGTCTCACAGCCATAAAGGAGAACGGAGCGGACTGATGAGCAGTAAACACGCCCTTCTCACAAGTTACTAGCAAGAACTCTCTTGCTAGTAACTTGTGAGAATGCAATGCATTTGCTCGATTGACAATGATTTCGAGCCATATCACCGATAGTCTCAAGTCATTGGTTCTTAGCATCCTGAGAGTGCATCTTATGGGTTGATGCTAGGCTTTAACTTATCCACTCCTAAATGTTGTCCAAATTACTCCTATATCATCGAGGAAGGCGGTAACCCGGTCATGCGTACCTAACAAATGTCCTAGCCATCTTGAACTGCGTGGCTTCACAACCCGATTGATTGACTTTCCCTCCCTACCTAACATGTTGTGCCTGATCTCAATATTGCTCACCGTATTATAACATTTGATACGGGAGAAAATGTAAACTTGAAGGAGCTATTCTGTCATTTCTCGGTATGTTTCATCCTGTATTGTATTTAAATACAGTTTTGAAGTTTGTTTGTAGGGATTCAATTTATTTCAAGTTTAATCATGTATCGATGTCAGTTAGAGAATCATTGAAAACCAGAGAGTACTGGATGGCCGTTTTGTCTTAGTTTAGAAATCTTCGGCAGTTTTAGAGCTTTTAAAAATGATAAACATCGGATGTTTATAATTTCATCTACTTTTAATGCATATTTATATACCAGGCCTCAAATTTATTCTTCTTCAGTCATATGATTCAATTTTTATTACAAAAACAACTCATAACTGACACCTTCATGTGATTGACCAACTGACTGACTGTAAATATTACCATGTGGATTATAATCTTAACAACTTTGGCTTCCATTTTCTGTGAGTCATTCGCTATATAGAATGAGAAAAAGCCAAGGTACTAGCTCAGATTTCCTTTTCTTTTCCGCTTACAGCCAATGTGAAAGTTTTGTATATTGAGAAGTTATTATAATTCATAATTTATTGCTTTTGCTAGCTCATCAGGAAATACACCAACTGTTATAGCTAGCCGCATGGTTTAACACCAATATTAACCGTTTGTTATCACTTATTATTATTATTGTTCCCTTGGGTTCCAAGTGGAACATAGGGCTTCAACTGCACGCCTCCACTTGCTTCTGTCTTCTGCTGTACTTTTCACTTGCATCCATGTTAGTCCATACTGTTTCAACTCCTCTTCACACGATCTCCTCCATGTCACCCTTGGACGTCCCACTCGCCGCTTCCCTTTCGGGTTCCAATCGAGCCATGGCCTGACGCGCGATGTCACCCAGCGGCCTCCTCAGTGAGTGTCCAATCCATCTCCACTTTCTCCTGCATATTTGTTGGGTGATTGGTTCTTGTTTTGTTTGTTCCCATAGCTTCTTGTTGGTGATTCTTTCCGGCCATCTGATCTTCAGTAGAGAGTGAAGACAGTTGTTGATAAAGGTCTGCAACAGGCTGTTGGAAATATTCTTTGTAACCCGCCAAGTTTCTGATCCCTATAGTAAAACTGACTTGACGTTTGTATTGAAAATCCGAATTTTGTTGTTGATGCAGGCTGAGTGACGAAGATTTCCAGATTGGTTTCAGGTTGATGAATGTGTTTCTCGACTTCCCGAATCTCGATTTGACATCTTCGTGCGTTCCTCCTGTAGTTGAGACAATACTCCCTAGATAAGTGAATGAAGTAACCTCTTTCAAATCCCTCCCGTTGATGGTGATTGGCACTGGATGTTGCTGCTGCTGTTGTTGGTTGGTTACTTTCATAACCGTTTGTTATCACTACTATTATATAATTGTTAGTTCATTTCCACAAACGGTTAATTAGTGGTGGTTGTAGGGGGAAGCAAGCATTGTCGATAAATTAGTAGCAGAAGAGTCGAATGCATATGTATACAGCAAACCTGAGAGCATATAGTCCAAGACAGAAGGCATTTAAAAAAGGTATTAAATTGATTAGTTAACTGCCATTAGTCTATCTCTTAATTCATTTTTAGCACAGATTAGATTCTGACTAGTCCGTTTCCGAAATGAAAGCATTTATCAAGAGAGTGAAGCTATTGCAAAATAAACTTGTTGCGCTTTAGTCTCAATATACTTGGATAAGTAGAGTGGAAGCGGCCAATTACTATTTGAGTTTCCTCCATATGATTTTGTATTACGTACTTAAAGGAATGATGTAATCATATGAAATGTTACGTTTGGCTGTTCCAAAGGTGTCATATCAACTTTTTTTTTTCTACACAGCTGGAATATCCGTTTCAGCATTTGTTATACTGTGCACGAAAATACCTCGTGATAGCTTTTATCCTTACCCTATATCAGAGCGATTATAAGCGTTTAGTTATTTCTTACAGGTTTCATTGTGAGTCGATATCAATTAAAAAACCATTGGAAAACCTGGGAGTACTGGGCACCTGTTTCTTCCTTGTTTGGGAGTCTTCAGCAGTAGTCAGTTCTTTCTAGCAAGAGTTTCTTGTTTTGTTGATTGATTAACCCGCATTGTTGATGAGTGTGAAAGTCAAGAGAGAACAAATAAAGTATAATTACATTTTAATAGTTTACACACAATGATGTCATTGTCCTTTGGTAATATTTCGAGCAAAATTACTGCCTGTGATCACTCACATCAACTGTTGGAATTGTTTTGTTTTTAATTCACACATTTATGATTTGTACTCATACATACAGTTTTTTTGTCCACTCATTTTTGTGTGCATTCAGAATTATATTCCAGGTTGTTGACAGTTGTACTGAATCACTCTTATTACATGTATCTGGTGTGACCTTAATGAATACAGATTCTGTTATCAGTTTCTCCTTCCATTTGTTCATATTAGATTTCAGAATACTAACATTGTTCCAATCAGTATTGTGGTTTTTGTCCTATGCATGTGCAGCTGTAGAAGAGTTTTTTTTCTAAATTGTTTTAAGTTTGTGTTCCTGTTGGTTGACCTTTAGTTAGGCGTTTATATTCACTCACTCTTATTTTGAGTGATCTGGACGTTTGACCCACATATTTAGTCGGACACTCGGCACAAGATATTTTGAAAATTACATTGTTTTTTTATCCATCATTTTTAGTGGGTCATTCAGTTGATTTATCTTATTTTTAATTAGATTCGTGTGTGTGAATTAAAAACAAAACAATTTTAACAGTTGGTGTGATCATGGGCAGTAAATTTGCTCGAAATATTACCAAAAAACAATAATTTATCACTGTGTGTAAACCATCAAAATTTTCCTGATTGCAGTAGATTGGATAATGCGACAAACATCGGGCAATGAGGAAACAGACATAAAATGGACCCACACAAAAAACTTGGAGGATCTTGACTTCGCCGATGATACATGTCTGATTTCCCACAGACTGGAAGATGCAAGTGAAAAGCAACAAGTTGGCAGAAGAAGCATCCAGAGAAGGTAGGACTTCAGGTGAACATAGAGAAAACAGAGGTGATGAAGATTCCTGGACAAGAACAACAACAACAGACAACGATCAGCATAAATGGGAGGAACCTGAAAGAAACAACCTCCTTTATCTACCTGGGAAGCACCGTTTCAACTACAGGCGGAACTGACGAGGATATCAAAGCAAGAATTGGGAAAGCAAGACAAGCTTTCACTACTCTCAAGTCAGTGTGGAGGTCAACAACACTCAGCATCAAAAATAAGATCCAGATTTTCAGCTCCAATGTGAAGTCAGTGATACTATACGGATCAGAGACTTGCACTGCGCGTTATAAAGAGCATCTCAAACAAACTACAGACCTTCATTAATAGTTGTCTTCGCTCAATACTCAAGGTAAGATGGATGGCCAGAAAAGATCAGCAACAGAGATCTCTGGCGATGAGCGAACCAACACAGCAGGAACCGATTGTGAAACAAATAGGCAGGAAGAAATGGAGATGGATTGGCCATACTCTGGACAAAGAAACCATCAAGTGACATCACTAGACAAGCCATTGCTCGAGTGGAACCCGAAAGGGAAGCGGCGAGTTGGTCGTCAGTGCAAGGGTGACTTGGAGGAGGTTATGTGAAGAGGAGATGAAAACGTGTGGGCAGACTTGGAGCCAGGTGAAGATTCTAGCAGAGAACTGGACGCAATGGAGACGCACGGCTGAAGCCCTATGTTCCTCTAAGAATTAAAGGATACAATAATAATAATAATTCCACAATGCTCAAACTTTTTACTGACATAAGGCGAGAAGAACTTGTGTGTGTGTGTGTGCATGTGTGGTTAGTTAAATGGGTATTGACTCTAATGCAATCTTCCTTAATTATCTTGTGGATGAAGTGTCTGAAAACATTCTACACCTATGAAGCATAACGTTTAGTGAGAAACCATCTATTACATTGAAGTTGTCTTAAAAGCATAACACGCCCTCATAGCATCATCATCAGATAAGCAGTTGTTGACAGAAACAAAAAAACAAACACGTTAAGCATGATGTTTTTCTTTTTACCCAGAAAAGAATATTTCTCTTTTTCAAGTTGTATGCATTCATGCATGTTATCTTGGGTTATGCATGATTGCCTTGAAAAGACAAATTAAGACATAAATTGTTTATTGTTTTTTTTATTTTTCAATAGGTTTTATAATCCATTTGATCGTTTTCTTATACATAGGTGTAAGCAGACAGCACTTATCACATGTTTAAATAAAATATGTTGTAAGGATACAACCAATATTTGCAATAAATATTGATTTCATTGAGACTGTCTTAGATGGCCTTGTGTTGTGAATGGAACATAGGTCTTCAGAAACACAGTCCATGAAATCCACAACAGTTAGTTTAAGCCAGCCACGTGGGAAGGTGTAGACTTCCTGATTAGGGTCCTCGGAACGGTAAACACCAATGACTGGAGACAGTTGGTGCTATGGCTCAAAGTCGTTCTCAATGGCTGGCGCAGATGCATCCACTCCTTGTGACTTATAATACCCAATGAAACTATATTGTTCTTCGATATTACTATTTCTTTTGTATCATATCTCTGTTTGCTGTCACTATTTTGCATTTCTTTTTACTTTCTTTCCTTGCTTTGTGTGCTACAAGGAGGGATTGTGGCGACTCGAACTGATGCACATCAGTGCAAAGTTCTATGTTGAAACCAGTCAGTCTTCAGAAACACTTCTACACTTCATGTTTTTTACTCTTTTGTTACTGGTTCGACGATTGTCCATAAGCTTTCGTCTCCTTCTCGCCTGATCCCTTCCATGTCACCCTTGGGTACACGCCCAACTAATCGTCTTCTATTCAGGTCCTAATATATGGTTTGTCTGGTTCACTGTGTGTGTGTCATTCAACGATGTCCTCAGTGTGTACGCCTAATCATTCTTGGTTGGGCAGACTGTTATTAATACCAGTAAGTGATGAATGAAGGGGAATATAACCGTCTGCTTCTAAATTCCTAGTGAGATATTCTACCCCAGCATTTTTAGCCTAGATAGTAGATCACTTAACTAGTAATTCATAGGCAGTTAGTTCGAATTCTGTCGTCGTCTCAATCATAACCGACTACTACATAAACACTGATTATTGTTCGAAGGCAGATAGATTTTATTTATTCTTATATATATTTTTTCGTTGTTCACTATTTTAATTTTAGGTCATTCGGTCGTCAATTGTTTCGAGTTGGTAAGCCTCGATCGCATAGTGATGAGAATATCCCAGTGAAAACGAACTCTAGTTCAAGTAAGCATATTTTTAAAGTGTTTAGCCTTTCTTGTGAGCACATATCTGGGAATATTTGTAATTCAGAAAGACGGTAGAAGACGGACTTGGTTAAGGAATGTTTATTTGGAAATTGGTATCTCTGTATGACCAAATTTTATATGTATACCTTATCTTCAACTCACCATTTCCACAGATTTTCGCGCTGTGGTACTTCTGGACTTCATGTTGTGTTTCTTTGTGTTCCTTTCACGTCTCCTATGCATCTCCACAACGCTGTTTCATTCGTCTTCTCTAAAATCAAATGTATCTCCTTGCTCTTTGATGTTTTTATGCCCGATGAACGTCTCTTTATACACTACTGATAAATCTTATCAGTAGCACTAACCGTCAGATGTTTATACTTGCTTCACATTCTCTGAATCAGATTGGTTTATAATTGCGAAGCTTCTCTTGTCATTCTATGAAAAGTTGTCACCATTAGAAGTTTTAGAACAATATCCTCTTTTCGAATCTGTATAGGACAAGTCTAGAAATTTGTCATACATATCGTCTTTCTCACTGGTCAATGAATTAAATCTATTTCTCGTCCTCTTTTCGTTTTCACAATCATGGATTTGTACCCTTTTTCTAACTCATTTTTCTACTTTTGCGGTTGTTTATGCATCGATATAACTTCAGTTACATTTTGCTGCTAATTAAAGCTTATTTAGATGTGTAGATGAATGGGTCAACTACTCCTGTAGTTGCATTCTTTAACCTGTATAAGAAAAATCAATTTCTTTGTTGTTGGTTTTGGAGAGAAACTAGCTTCAATGGATTTCAATATTCCTGATACAATCTCAGTGACTGTATTGATGCCTAGAAGACTTATCCTTTTTTTTGTTAGCCTTTATGGATTACTTTGTGGAGGTTGAGAAAATTCCTGGACTTCAGAAAATAACAAATTGGCGTAGATTAATTTTTAGTAAAATAGCCAGTTATAATTTACGTACGTACAGAAAATGATGTCACAGTCTCAGAAGCAATCATTTGGGCGTTAAGTCAAAAATGAGTATAAGAGCTTTATGATAAAATCAATCTAATGAGAGAATGTTAAACACACTGAAAGTATTCTCCAGGGTTGCAATTCCTTGTAAAAAGTGTATTATTTATTCCGAGTTTTGCCCATGGATTGAAATCATTTGGAGAACCATTGAAAACCAGGCAGTCCTAAACAACTTTTTCATCCTAGTTTGGGACTCTTCATCAGTACACACACATTGAGTTTTGAACACCGTACTTTCCGGTTTTAAGGTTAACTCGTAGATCATTCAACCACCGGGACCCAACTCAATGACCAGCCCATGAATTCTAACTTCTACCACTTCGTGTATTTTTTTTTATCGAAATTTAATCTCTATTTTATTTCCCACGTTGTGAGTGGAACGTAGGGCTACTAGTTTTGAAGTTTTAGTAGCTGTGGTGTTGCTTTTATGCGGTGCCGTTGTTAGCCTCACACGTCTAAACTTCGTTCTTTCCAGGATTACTACGGGCTAGTAAAATAAGCCTAGTTTAGTAGGAGTCCATCTTCTTTCTTGGCTGACGAACATTCTACCATTGTGTTGCCCGTCACGCAAGATATCCATGTTAATAAAACTTGGTCAAGTTTTCATGTAATTAATCGGCAGAAATTGTGCCCCCCCCCCAGTTTAAAGTAGTCACATTTGTATGGGAATTTCGCAATGTTGAAATATTTTGTAAATATGTGCAGTGTTTTATTTCTGATCATTGAATTACTCAAATGAGCAACTTCTGCCTAGAGAAGTGTTTACCTTGTATCATTACATTTTAAGTCTTTGTTAATAAGTCTGTACGAGTTTAAATGCTTTTATATATTGTCTTATGCACTTGACACTCAACCAAATAGATTGTAATTTCGATTGTCGCTTCAGCTATTTCAGTCTCCAAGGTAGGGTCCACGTGTCTGCCCTACTGAGTTCTAAATACACGAAAATGTTCTTTTATGTAGAGTGATATTATAAATGCATCAATTATTTCACAGTGTACTAGCCTCTCAGTGATATACATAATATGTCTGTAATGTTAACTGTCACCATTTTTATTTCCATATGGTTTTTTTAGTAGAATGTTAAGTAGGGATTGTAACGACTAGAAATCAAATATTTTTAATGTGAACTAAGGAACCAGTTGATAAGTTCTTCTGTATAGCTGCTCACCAAACTTCCACGAATCACGCATAATCCAAACATTATTCCAATAATATCAACAAGACGATTAGAGGGATAAACTTTTGTGCTACTGTTTAACATCCATAACATAACAAAAATAATAGAGAAGATTTGTAGCTCAGGTGGATGATGATTTGCAATTAATGGTGTTCTCTGAGCTGGTTGGTTTAGTTGCGGAGCTTTCGTCGTCCTTCTGGACAACATCCCCTTTCAGTGCAATATTTACCATAAAGTGAAATGATATTCTTTATATATTCTTTAGTATCAATGCATATAGACAATTATGGACATCAATTTGATTGGGATAATGTCGAAATCTTAGACAGAGGAAACACCAAAAGTGCCAGGGAATTCCTAGAAGCCTGGTACTCAAACGAAAATGCAATTAACAAACACGTTAATGTAGACGAAATATACCAACTAATAAAAAGTAAATCAGGTGACCAAAAAGTTTAAAATCCAAGTCAATAGAAAATGGTGAATAGATATGTAAAGATGGTTACCAGGAGACGCAATTATATCACTCATGAAGAAAATTAAATCATTTCACTTTGCGCTAAATATTGCGCTGAGAGGAGATGTTGTCCAGAAGGGGGACAACGAAAGATCCGCAACTAAACCAACCAGCTGAGAGAACACTATTAATTGCAAAACATATAAAAAAATACAAAACTAGCTTCAATGATGGTGTTCGGCAGGTATACAGTCGAAAAGGTGCTCAGGTATAACATACATCCTGAGAATCAGTAAAGGTAACCTCAACAAGATGGGATGAAAACTCAATTTCCAGGAATCAAGCAGAACAAACACATTTCCCCTCAGACAGTATAATCTCAGCCAGTCACTTCATATTAAATCGCGCCCATAAATCATCACACCATTATCATCACTATCAAACAATAGCTAAGGCAAGCATTCAAATTAGGCATCAATAATCAAAAATGAAGACAAATAATAAAGATTAAGTCTAAAGGGGATATGCAAACATTAGAACAATTATATATATATATATATATATATATATATATATACAGCTTAAGCGACAAAAAGGGTAGTAATTACAAAGTCACCTGAAATATCCAGATAAGTATCTGCATTATCAATAAATTGTTCATAGAGAGACTTTCAGATCGATTACTAGTTGATCACAAATTGATATCAGTTTGAGAATCATTGAAAACCAGGGAGTACTGGACAGCTGTTTCATCCTAGTTTGGGAATCATCAGCAGTGACTTGCTACAGGATGGAGTTTCCTGGAGTTCTAGTGAGAAGTCGTGACCAGTGAGGTCCAATTAGATGTCACTTGTGTGGATGGATGTCTCACCAACGACAATGGTTGAGGTCACGCTAAATCACGAATTGGTAGAAGTTAGAATTCATGGACTGGCCATTGAATTGGGTCCCAGTGGCTGAATGGTATACGAGCTTTCCTTGTAACCGGAAGGTCCTGGGTTCTAACCTCGTAGTGTGGGTGCGTACTGCCGATGGTTCCCAAACTAGGATGGAACAGCTGTCCAGTACTCCCTGATGGTTTTCAATGGTTCTCTAACTGATATCAGTCCGTGATCAACTCGTAAAAACATAACTAACCCTTACAAACCAAACTATAGATCGATTACTGTTACCTAGGTTTCTGTTACATATTTCCTCTTGGGATTTATTCTGCCTATATCACCATATATATATATATATATATATATATATATATGTATATATATAATATATGTATATATTCGTATGCTAGATATTTTACGATAATTTTATTAATGCAATGCATTATATGGAATTATATTTTGTTCTATTTTATTTTGCTTTTTTAAAATTCTCTTAGATGATGATAATATCTATCGTAAAAAGGGTTCTTCACGTCCTGTCGGCTATTCATTATTTACGCCTTCGTAAGTGTTTGTGCTTTATTAATATACTCTCTTAACTCTCATCCACCTATTACGTTAATTGTATGCTTGTAAGCGCATATATTCCGTTTTTATTATTATTTTGTCATATTATATCTAGACTATTAGAGTAGAAGTTTTGTTAATGGCATATTACAGTTGAATTGCTGATCAATCATAAATGTTATGAGGAATTTTTTTCATCCATCATACTATGATATGTGAAGTACATAAATTTGAATACTATATCGCTTCAGATAACAGTGTATGAGGCTTAATTGCGACTATCTCTAATTGTTTCATTGTCTAAATGACATCATCACAAGGAAGACGAATTGACATTTAGAGACTTTTCTCTCAAGTGTCGTTATTATCTCACGTATTCTTTTAATGATCGATTACGTAGCGAGAACTAATGGTTGCTGCCAGTCAGGTCGAGGTAATCTCAACACTGGATGTGAGTAATTTCCAACTACTTATATTCCTATCACGTCAATTATACTTTCTTTCTTGATAGTCATTTATGGTATCAAGCAGGTCACATACTGTGATTTGAATACCTTTTTTGTTTTCCAAGGGAGATGTTGATGATTTTTCACTTCAAAATATGTAATTTTCAGATGCTGAATTCGATTTTACGGATTACCAATTCATCCAAGTACTTATTTAGAATTCATTTAGTTCGAAATAATTTGCCTCTCTGAGTTTGTTCGGGTGCCACCCTGATAAGTTTGGCGGTTAATTCTACCTGGCTAGGAAGCACTATCGATCCGTGGGAGTGATTTCTAATTAGTCTTATCAACCAGTAATCCATACTCTTATAGTTACTTCAGGATTTTTGATATAATTGGTGAGAATATGGCTAATCTGTTTTGATCAAACTACCATATGTTTTCCAGTAAGGGGTATCTGAGTTCAAACATCTCTCCACCTGCTCAGAATTGTAATTCCAGTAGTATCTTTGGTGAATGGATAGCATACGTGTAACTTTCAATATTTATTGACATAAGTCACAGTTACAGGTGTTGGTTTGCAGGGATTTGATTGGTTACAGGATTTCATCATCGGGAGCTGACATCTTTTGTGGGGCGGGGAATGATGACAACTACACGCCGATGACATTGGCTAATGGTCGAGTTATATCGTGAATTGGCAGAAGTTGGAATTTATGGGTTGGTCATTGGGTCGAGTCCCAGTGGCGTAATGGTCTACGAGCTCACTTTGTAACGGGAAGGTCCTGAACTCGAACCCCGATGGGTACGTGCTGTGATGAGTCCCGAACCTGGACGAAACAACTGTCCAGTACTCCCAGGTTTTCAATGGTTGTCTAACTGATGACAGCTCAAGATGAAGTCCTATAGGTCTAAATATCTACATATATGTCCATTTATTTAAGAGATTAGGTATATCAATCGTTTATAGGTTATTAATTTTGTTGAACTACAGATAATTAAGGGACATAGACTTATGACCCTTTAGCAGAAATGGTTTTTTTGTTATCTGTGTCAATGAGTCAAAGCTACACTAAATGTTTTAATTGCAGTCGACACGTTAAGACATTTCGGTCAATCATTCACACATACATGGATTTATCAGTGAACTAGAATTTCAATGTATTTGTAAACAATCTAACCAAAAACTCTTATACCGTCTATCATAAATTGCTTTTTGGTCAATGAGTTGATTAATTATACCTTTGTCTGCATTGCTGTACAGTACTATCGTATTATTATTTAATCCATCGTATAGGATGTCTGGTGTATAGTTTCTTCATTCCTGTATGTTCCTAGTAGAACATACGGCTTTAAGTATTTTTCAGATTTCAGTAACTGTGGTGTTCGTTTTATCGGGTGGGGTTGCTAGCCTCACACTCGACCTTCCCTCTTTTTCTGGCTTATAACAGGCTAGTTAACTAGGGAAAGTTTACGGGGGTGTCAGCCGGGTATTGAACCCAAGCCACCTTTTTTTCATTGCACTTATAATCTCTTCGTATTCAATTATTTATTGTTTTAACTGAAGATGTAACTTCTGTAACCATGAAGTGTCATCAGACTACATCTATTTTGGGAAGTTTTGATTACCCGGGGAAAATGGTTTGATAATTTAATAACTATGTTGTATTGATCATATTAGTAGTAGAGCTAGTGAGGTTTTCAGTTTATGATAACTCACGGTTTACGTTGGACATCATCAAGATGCATCGATGAGTATCTATCTTTACATTGTAATAGACTGATCTAACCGTTATCGGTTTCGTTTGCAAAAAGGAAGAAGAGAATGAGGAGGTACACCGCAATGTTCGGCACCTTCGGATTCCGAGACATTTAATTTATATAAGTATATAATACCTGGGTATTAACATGAAGCATCACACAATAAGTGTGGCTCATAGCCTGGTATTGTAAAAACTTATTCCGTGTAACTGAACTGAATCTTAACCAACATTTTGTTAAAGTTCTAGATATTATAAAGTATATAGTAAATAGCTCATTGTCCAACTGATAATGTCGTTGAGTATAAGCCTATCATCATTGAATAAACAGGTTATTTTTAATCTGCATAGTTGCGCTGTATATACATAATATCAATGGTTATTTAATTGTTTTCGTTTTTATTTGGAATCCTAGGAGACACATATATACACAGAGTACTTACTCTCTGTGTGTTGGTGGTAATCAGATAACCAATTGTTAAACTAATTATCAATTCTTATTGTTATATTGTTAACTAATTATACTTCATGTAAATACTAAACATTATACTACTTATATAGCCATACATATGTATGCATCATAACACCGTAGAAATCTACTAAATAATAAAATACTATATAATAGTTGAAGTATAAAATGACTGACCGACTAACCGAGTTTCAACATAGAACTTTGCACAGAACTGCAACAGTTCAAATTGTCACACTCCATGTAGCAAACAGCAAGTAGAAAAAAGGCACAAATGTGAGCGAGAGAAAAATAATGTGTGCGTAGGCACAGAGTTAAAATGCTCGCCGACCGTGCAGATGGTTCGGGGTTCAATCCCTGGCTGACACACTCCTTTACATCGGTAAGCCAGTAATAAGACTGGTAAAGAGGGAAGGATGGGCATGAGGCTAGCAACATCATCCCGTAAAAATAAACACCACTGCTACCGAAAATTGAAGCCTCTAGCTTGAAGCCCTATGTTCCATTGGGAACGTAAAGGAATAAAGAAAATTGTAGTGAGCACAAATGTGGGCGAGAGAAAAATATTAACATAGAAAAATATGGAGACATAGTAAATCTGAAAGATTTCAAAGAGTAAAGTGCATTTGAACCATTGAGAACGATTTTGCAGTCATATCCCCAATAGTTTTGAACTATTGGATTTTAGAATCCTGAAGGCCTCTATCAGATAGTCTACACTTGCCTACAAAACTCAAACTAGTAAAGACTTCATAGATTGATTCCGAACCAGTGACACCTGTAGATGTAAACTCCATTTCAGTTAACTGACTTCCGCCTGACATCTGGATAACGTCTTCATTGTTCATTTAAAAACCGATGACAATGAAATGACAAATTATTGCAAATGTTCTAATAATACTTATGATTTATATTAGTTTGATTTTTCACATTTCCATTATTTCCTCCTAAGATCATAGTAGATAGTATAATATAATATAAATGTAACTTGATTGGTGTTGTCGAGATTCAGGACCTAGGACTAGTCGGCTGGATGTACTTGCATCCTCAGTGTGTGATAGCGTTCCCACTGAGACTCGAACCCTAGCACTCATTGTTTCAAACACCAAAACTTCCTCCATCTGACAAGTTCCAAATAAGACGAAAGGCGCTCTCTGCATTCCACCACAAAAATCAAAAATAACATCGTGTTTATGTGAAGGTAGTGTTGAAGCATCCGTGTTAGTAGCTGGTTGACATTTCAACAACACTTCGGTCCAATATTATCTATCAATGAGGGATCCAAAATGACTTTGATAAATATAACACAAGTTGTATAACTGAAATTCAAACTTCTTAATGATTACTACTATAATTAGATTTTCATGTTGACCTTAAACTCGATGATGTCTGTAACTTAGTTGGTGTGTAACAATATATGCGTATATACACATAATAAGGTTGGAAAGGAAAGGAAATGAACAGGCGAGGTAGCTAATCTGATTAACTGTAGGATATTCGTAGTTCTAGGCTTTATCTATGTTTGCTGATATTTCTTTGACATTCGAATCTGTGTCATTGAGTTTCTCAAAGTCAATCAAATTCCTACTGCTTTCCTTAGTGGTCTCGTTTCAGTATGCCTCTGAATATTTACAGTCTTCAGATTTAACAATCCAAATAGTCAGCTTTCATGAAATAACGAATGACAGACATTACTGGGTAAAGCGAATTCTATTCATTTCATGTGATAAGAGTTCATTGTGGAAGAACTGGATGAATCTTTCTTAACAGGAATATCTGTAGGAGGTGAAGGACTATTCAGCAGTACTATTGGTAGATACATTCTTGATACACAATCATATCACCGATTCTAATGCAACTTTTCACATAACAAATAGGCAAAGTAAGAGTCAATACATCATCAGTAATTCATCGATAGAGATCTAACTTAGACATGCAGAAAGAATCTGCGGTCCCACCTCACATTACCCTTTTATTTATCCATTCCTACCAATACACTACTCATCTTCCTAACATTCTTCATTACTTATCATGTCCATTATATTGTATTCTCATTTCTTACGACTTGATCACGGAGTGATATCAGTTAGAGAACCATTGAAAACCAGGGAGTACTGGACAGCTACTGTTTCATCCTAGTTTGGGAATCATCGGCAGTACGCACCCACACTACGAGGTTCGAACCCAGGACCTTCCAGTTACAAGGCAAGCTCGTATACCATTCAGCCACTGGGACCCGATTCAATGGCTCATGAATTCTAACTTCTACCAATTCGTGATTTAGCGTCATTGAATCGGGTCCTAGTGACTGAATGGTATACGAGCTTTCCTTGTAACCGGAAGGTCCTGGGTTCGAACCTCGTAGTGTGGGCACGTACTTCCGATGATTCCCAAACTAGGATGAAACAGAAGCTGTCCAGTACTCCTTGGTTTTCAATGGTTCTCTAACTGATATCAATCCGTGATCAACTCGTAAAACATAACTAATCCTTAGAAACCAAACTATAGAAAATTCTCATTTCTATTTATATCCTTTACCTTTCTGTCATTGTTTTAATATCCTATCATACAATCTATGTCATATCATTGCTTTCCTCAATTATATCCTCAATCCCCTACCAAATGGGACACTAATTACAACACCTTATCAGAATTATATGAGTATTATTATTATTGTGTTTTGTTATTTTGATTGAATTTTACAGTCGGATTATTAAAAATTTGTACTTTTTCCTCTTTATTGATTAATTAGGTCATGAACTTTGTTATTTCTATTCCTCTATATATAGGTAAACTATAGGCAATAGGTGTGTATGTATAGGTTCGGAAAGCCTCAGTTTGTGTTAATTTAACCAAAAACAACCTTATCAAATTATTTGCATTTGAACTAACTATATGGATATGAAGGATGCAGTACAGTGACATAAAATGAGTTCAATTCATTTTACAATGCTTGTTGTGCTGATTTTAAGTAGGACTTTCAAGTATTGGTTTGTAGGGATTTTGTTTGATTGGATGGAGGATTTCATCATGAGCATCATCGGGGTTCGAACCCAGGACCTTCAGGTTACAAGGCTTGCGAGCTCGTAGACCATTGAGCCACTGGGACCTGATCCAACGGCCCATGAATTCCAACTTCTGCCCATTCACGACATAGCGCGACCATTTCACAATGTCTTCTTCGATGAGCTACTGCCTCATCTCCAACCCCGGTGGGTGGGTACTGATGAAGAGTCCCAAACTAGGACGAAACATCTGTCCAGTACTCACAGGTTTTCCAGTGGTTCTCTGACTGATGTTAGCTCATGATGAAATCCTCCATCCAATCAAAAAAAATCCCTACAAAACCAATACTTGAAAACCAATATTAGTTGTAGATCATTGAAAACTGGGGAGCCTTGGACAGCTGTTTCGTCCTGGTCTGGGACTCCTGAAAACGAACACCTCCTAACCGGCCAGGAATTGAACCTGGGACTTTCAGGTTAGGAGATCAATCTCTTTAACCATTCAACCACCTGGACGGGAATTCATTGATCCGTGAAAATTCTAATTTTGTCTATTCGTCGTATAGAGCTACTGTCAACTAATGCATTCGGTGAGTATTCACTTCACATTGATATAGTGGATCCCTTTGGCCACGACTTGTCAAAGCTTCAGGGCATCCATCCAGTGGCCGTCAGTAAGCTGGTGATTGATATTCGGGTTATAGGATTTATAGGGGCTTGATCTCGTAGTCTGTATGTCTCGGATTTGAACTGTGATGGGTACGTGGGTGTACCAATTTCCCCTAGTTTTCAATGATCTTTAACTGATGTTTTTTCTGGTGTTAAAACCTATCGATTGAAAACTCCCTTACCCTTACAAGCGTTCAAAGCTGTGTATAGTAACCTAATAATTAATTATTGAAGTATATGAATTCCGTTGCGAACACTATTACTCACTGGGGTTGCTGTACATCTGGTTGACGAGTCCCAAAATAGGACGAAATATACTTCAGCAACCACCAACGAAGCAGTACACATTGTAATTCATTTTGTTTTCATTGTATACATCGTAACGGTTATCTGACCATTTTTTCTCTTCTCTTGATTTTTCCCTACTTTTCAACTTTATCTATCTATCGATCGATTGGTCGATTAATTTTGTTTGTTTTTTACTGATATAATTTCAACTTTTGTTTGAAATTGTTCACTTGTAAACTGTGAACTTTTTTGAACTTTTTGTTGTTTCTTTTTCACTATCAATCACGGTTGAATTGTATGTCATTATCATTATTACTCTACGACTATTAGTACTAGTATTTATATGGTCACGTTTTTTAATGATCATTCATTGTATTATAGGTAGGTAGATAAGTGTAGGTGTAGGTGACAAACTATATGTGTAAAGTGTGAAAGAAATTAAATAGAGATTTCAATTGTTTGCTTTTGGTGTTCTATGATTGTTCTTCCTCTTTGTCTGTATGGTTGTCCCTCTCTCTTTCCCCCCCTATCTTTCTCTCTCTCCACTTCTCGCTTTCTCCGTCTTTCTTTTAAATCTTTGTCCTTTATGTGAAATAGTAGAAACTAATTAGTAATTAACTTATTGCCTCGAAAATTTCCAATTTTTCCAGTCTTTTTTTCTATTTGTTTCAAGGTTTGTCTCTTTCCTTTTGCCTTATCCTTCAATTGTATTTTTTTCCTTTTAGGCGTGGTTCAGTAGTAGTGTAAACACTTCATTTGTTTGTTAAAATAACTACAATTTTTGTATATCCCTGAGATATTTTACAATAGATGTGTGTGTCTGACTCGGTACCTTGGGATTACTGGACAGTTAGTTGTTCAAATTGTCATATCCCAACAATGACTGTGGATATCTGAATTCCAGCTTGAACAAACTAAATTTTCCTACACTCTTCATATTACACGATCACTGACCTGTTGGATGGGTGCCTTGTCGTTATATGACAAACTTTTCTCTTTCGCCCGAACTACTACTAATCCTGCATTCTCTAACATCGATTTTTGACGTATGCAGTTTTGGTACCCGGCATCTCAAGTGATGGACTCACTTATCCTCACAGCTTCGTGGTGGTTCAATCAGATATAAATATTCAAGTGTTGGTTTACGGGGATTTGATTGGTTACAGAATTTCATCATGAGCTAACATCGGTTCGAGAACCATTTGGTAACCTGATGAAGACTCCCAAACTAGGACGAAACAGCTGTCCAGTACTTCTCCTAGCTGGTTTTCCAATGGTTCTCTAACCGATGTCAGCTCACGATGAAATCCTGTAACCAAAAATATAGATAGTTTGACTATGTGATATTTGTGGTCATATTTCATCATCACATGGTAGAGTTGAACACAATAGGCTGTTACCTAGTGCACTTGACAGTCTTATTAGATGATTGGATATTTCTAATTCAGTTTTGATTTCCCCTTTGACTGATTGGATCGAAATGCTTGACCTATCTGGATATGTCGCGGCTTTTCGTGCGGATGCTTTGACGATGTCTGAAGATTTAACCTCTCTTGAATGGTAACTAGCAGTGGAATCCTCAGGATGTTCATTTCGTCCTATTTAAGACTCGTCAGATGGATGACTTGCCTTTCCTTAGTGAGTAATTTTGTCTACACCGAGGCTCGAACCCAGTAAACATCGTTTCAACGCCAAGGCGTTTGGATATTTCTTCTGTTTTTTTTTTATAAAATAGTAACATATCGAGATTTTGTTATATTCATCTGTCAATCTTCTCCAATAATAATCTATTTCGTATCTCTATGCATATGAAACATTTCAAAATATATGCATATACACGTGTTTTCTTCGTACTAATATTATTCGCTTTTTTCCCCATATAGAGATAAAAAGAAGAACAAAAAAATTTCAAAGAGTCGTTTAGCTGTGTCGAATTTATTATACCCTGTAAGTTGATTGATTGATTGATTGCCTTTTTTTAGTGGAAAATTATTCACTAATATTTTTTTTAATCATTACATGTTATATCATATCTTCTCTGCCTTTTTAAACATTAAAATTATTCACGTTGAATGGTTAGTAGACTGTTATTGATGTGATAGGTTATTACTGTTATTATTATTAGTATTCCTTTGGGTTCTGTGAGTGGAACATCTCCAGTTCACCCTATTTCTCTGCAGTCATTTTTAAGCTGAATCTATCATTGTCCATAAGCCTTTATCTCCTCTGCATGCGAACCCCTCCATTTCATCTTCGTACTCACACCCAAGACATTTCCACTTGAGGACCTGGCCAACAACAACCTTCTTCTCAGTGTGTCCGATTTATCTCCATTCCCTTCTGCATATTTGTTAGGCGATAGGCTCTTGACTGGTTCATTGTCATATCACTGTATAGAAGTAAACTAACAATGCAACGGGTGATTGATTATTTATTGGAGATGAAACGAAAGTTGAGATTCAAGTGTTACTTTGTGGGATTTGATTGGTTATAGGATTTCATCATGAGCTGATATTGGTTGGAGAACCATTGGAAAACCTAGGAGTATTGGACAGCTGTTTCATTCTAGTTTGGGACTCTTCATCAGTACGCACCCACCGGGATTTGAACCCAGGAGATTGTGTCAGACTTCGAACGTGTGTAACTGGCCTGATAGAGTGAATGGTGGACTAGTAATCTGCAGTTTGCTGATTTGATTCCTCAATGTAGATTTTCATTTAACCTTCAAACATCACCTATTACGTTGATCTTTTAATGATTTTGCTGTATACTATGATGTAGACTGACAGTAGCTATTACATTTTTTCGAAGTTAGTGCTAATGACAAATGAAAACTTCACAAGTGTTAAACTATCCAACTTAATGAATATAACAGTTTCACATAACAGTATCCCCCTGAGCTACAAATCTCTTCTACTGTTTTTTTCATAACTTTATAAATACATAAGGATAGTGTGATGAGTGATGATAAACGAGGAGAGGGGGAGACATATCTTGTTTCGGCTAAATTAAATTTTTGGTCAACAATTCAAACTATTAATCTCTTTAAGTCACAGTTATGTAATCGGCTGAGTAACATCATGGTCAGTTACCCCTTTTGTTTTCTGCGTATAAAGCGTTCTTAGGTGTGCATTTGAATCGACAGCATTAGTCAAATTTCTTATTTCACTGTGGGTGCTATTTAAGCCCATATCCCCACACTGAATTATCCTCAGACTGTACTTATTATGTTTGTATTCATAATCATATTATACACCAATACTTCTCGTATACATAGTTCGGCCACTTAGTAGAGGTGTTATTCTTTAATTAATGGATAACAAGCGTATGAATGTGTGTTGGTCGCTCTATCTCTCGTGTGAAGTGGTATAATAGGGAGAGCAATATCTAGGTTAGGCTTCGATCGAGTGCTAGGTAAGGAGGGGAAATCAATTGACGAGACAGTGAAGCTATATTGATTGATATGGTTAGGACATGTGTTACGTATGCCTAGTCATCGCCTTCCTCGACGGGCAATGTTAGCTGATATAGGGTCAGGCTGGAAAAGAGCTAGCAGCGGTCAAACCAAAACATGGCACTGGTCAATGAAATCTACAACAGTTAGTTTAAACCAGCCACGTAGGAAGGTGTAGACTTCCTGACTGGTCGGGGTCTTCGGGATGGTAAAAACCAGTGGTTGGAAACAATTAGTGACATCGCTCAAAATCGTTCTCAATGGCTGGCGCAGATGCATCCACTCCTTGTGACTTATAATATCCAATGAAACTATATTGTTCTTCGTTATTACCATTCCTTTGTCTCATATCCCTGTTTACTGTCTCTATTATGCATTTCTTTTTACTTTCTTCTCTTGCTTTATGTGCTGCATGGAGTGTGGTAACCTGAACTGCTGCACATCGGTGGAAAGTTCAATGCTGAAAACAGACAGAACAGACAGAATGTGTGTTGGTGATTAAGTGCTAGGATGCTCACCAACTACTCCCAGTCGACGCATTCTAATAACTCATTTAGTAGTAAGCCTAGTAAAGACGGAAGATTATACATAAAGCTAGCAACTCCATTCCACACACAAAAAAAAAAATAACACGTCTACTAAAACTTCACAACTGTAGCTTGAAGCCGTATGTTCCACTGAGAATGTAAAGAAAAGGAGAAAAAAAGGCATACGAATCATATCGCTTTTACTAAAGTTTTAGTGGTTGGTTAGGTAGCATGGTCGTCAATTTCCACACAAGGTGTGTGCCTTATATACCGCCACCTGATGAATAATACCTTCATTTTCTGAATGATACACTTTGCATCAATTCCCTCCTTGTCTGTTTCAAGCCTTTTTGTGTGTGTGCATCATTTTGTACATCTGTTATTTCAAAATCATCGTGGCACAGTGTTTAGGACTCTCACCGACTATGCACATGGTCCGGGGTTCGATCTCCTGCTGACGCGCACACCTGATATCAATAGTCGGTCTGCATAATTTGGGCTACCGATATCACATGCTGAAAATTTCATACTTGTACCAAAAATACGGTATGGAATCAAGCTGTAATCAAAATTTTAAAAAAATAAAATGAAAAACGATACCAGGAAAAAAAGAAAACAAAAACTGGCACATTTATTTTTTCTCTCCTCACATCTTTTACGCATAGATTTTGTTTGATTTTAACCTGCGCATACCCACAGTCATCATCATCATCTTTCAACTTTTATATCATGTGAAATTTTTTTAAAACATGATATTCACATTTGATGTGTACCTCTTTGTCTTTTCTCAGAGGAAAAACAAAGTAACAATAACAACACGGAGATATGGATAATATTACCATCTTTCCTTATATGTGTGTGTGTGTTTAGATTACTGAAGGCCTTATGATTAAGATTGGCCTACACGATTACATCGGCGTGTAGTTAATTAATTAGTTAGTCAGTCTGTTTGTAGAGTTTTTCTTTTACAAAGTGTTTGTTTTTCTCAACTTCTAGTTATTTTGTTTTCCTTACAATAAGAGCAATTAATCTTCTAGTCATTGCTGTCTTTTTTGTCGTTTTTTTTTTCTCCTGATGTTGAGATTATTACTTTAAGAAGAGGAAAAGTTGACTTTATAAGAGTATGGTTATTTCGATAAAGAAAGGAAGACGAAATTTGCAGTATAAAATGATATCATTCTATTTCACAGGTTCTCATCAGCTGCAGACTACCTGAAATTACAATGGTTATATAAATGATAATAACATACTTTAATGTTTGAAGAATTCCCAGAATCACCTGAACGCTACGTCTGTAATCTATCAAAATTACAATTAAACAAAATCGAATTAGAAGCCTTATCTCTAGGATTCAAGTTTCACGTCCCCAAGAAGCAGATCAGTCGTATAGATACAGAAGCACAATTCGAACACTTATACCATCAACTCCAGGACCTGAAACCCTTAGACGAAGACAAAAGAGGATGGCTAAAGTCTAAACTTGTTGATATTGCTAACCAATACCACATATCGCCAATGGAGAAGCAAAAGATGCTGACCGAAGAGCATAGAATAGCTCTGAAGAAACTATATGAGAACGATGAAATCGTCATATTTAGACCCGATAAAGGCTCTGGGGTTGTTATAATGAACAAAGCTGATTATATTCATAAAATGATGACAATTCTAAACGACAAAGAAAAATTCCAAGTAGACAACAGAAAAGATGGCACAACGTCGTTTGAAAATAAAGTAAATAAATGTCTCAAAGAACTTCTAATGAAGAAACTAATCAACAGCGAAACATACAATAAACTGAAGTCAAAAGGTGGACGCCTGCCTTTTATGTACGGCCTACCGAAAATCCATAAAGCAAACGTGCCTTTAAGACCAATCTTGTCAATGATTGACTCACCATGCCACAAGTTAGCTCAATGGTTAGCTGATTCCATAGAGCCAATTCGAATTAAATTTGCAACCCATAGCCTGAAGGATAGCTACCAATTCTCCAAGGAAGTCGACAACATTGACATATCAGACAAACTCATGGTATCGTATGACGTGACCTCCTTGTTCACAAACGTACCACTGATGGAAACGATTGATATCATTTGTAAACAAACGGATCTACTACCGTTACCGGAAACAGAGATGAAGCGACTACTGCTGCTCTGCACAAAAGATATTCAATTCAAATTCGACAATCAACTCTACCGACAAATTGATGGGGTCGCTATGGGTTCACCTCTGGGACCTATCCTGGCTGATATCTTCATGGGCTACCTTGAACAGACACAACTAAGTTCTGCTATCAATGGAACAACCTACTATCGCCGATATGTTGATGACACATTTGTTGTTTGCAACGACATGGATCACGCATCGGCATTATATGATCGCCTAAATGAGATTCATCCAAATATCAAGTTCACCATGGAATATGAACATAAAAATGAGTTCAATTTCCTGGATCTAAATGTAAAAACAACAAACGAAGGCATAATTGAAAAGTCCATCTATAGAAAAGAAACCTGGACTGGACAATATCTTCACTATAACAGCTTTTGTCCCATAAGCTATAAACGTGGATTAGTGAGGACTTTGTACGACAGAGCCAGGAAGCTATGTTCACCAAACAAGGTCGAAGAAGAACTAGATTTCATCGAGAAATGCCTGAGGGAAAACGGATATCCTAAAGGCTTTATACAGAAGTACAGCAGAGAAAAAGATAAGAAAGAAAAGCATCCAACTGTAGAAAAGAAAAAAGTGTTTATTTGTCTCCCATTCAAAGGAGATGCAGTTTCACAAAAGATTGACAGAAGACTGAAAGGAGCAATAAATAGAAGCTTCCCGGCAGCAAAACTCATAACAGTATACAACACCACTCCTTCCATGATCAACTCAAAACTGGATAAATACCCTGCTGATGTCACCTCCAACTGCGTTTATGAATTTACGTGCACTTGCGGGAGCAAGTACATTGGAAG